TCCTAGTCAGCAGCAGCTATTTTCTGACATTCAGAGCTACATAGTATATAGAACAGATAAAGAACTCACTAGTTACAGGTGGACAGGTGGAGTGAAGGGAGGAACAAGTGGCATTGTGATCCTTGATGTGATGTGTCCACTTGACTAGGCCAAGAGATGCCCAGATAGCTGGTAAAACTGTATTTCTGGGGGCTGGGGTTGTAGCTCATTGGTAGAGCACCTGCCTAGTGTGTGTAAGGCGCTAGGTTCGATCCTCAGCACCACATAAAAATAAATAAATTAATAAAGGTATCATGTCCAACTACAACTAAGAAAAAAAAAAAAACAACTTTATTTCTGGGTGTGCCTGCGGGGGTCCTTCTGCAAAAGGTTAGCATTTGAACTGGGGAACTGAGAAAAGCTGATAGTCCTCCCACGGGCTGGCAGACATCATCCAATCCTCTGACAGCTGGAGTAGAACAAAAAAGCAAAGGAAGAAAGAATTCTCTCCCTTCTCTTTAGGGGGTATCCATTTTCTCCCACCTCGAGACATCAGAGCTCTTTTGGACTTGCCCTGAATCACACCACCAGCTTTCCTGGATCTCCAGCTTGTACCTCTGGGCCTCCATGATTGTTTAAGTCAATTCCCATGGTAAATCCCCTCTTAGAGATCTATGTTTCTCCTCCTGGGTGTGTTTATCTGGAGAATCCTAATATATGCATAAAAACTTGCCAATCAAGGTTAGCTCCGTACACATCAAACGGGCTCACTCCTGGGGGGCTTCAGCCCTGCCTAACCATCTGCAGTCACCCCTCTGTGAGTTCTTTGCTGTGCCCATGGCAACCCCTCCTGGACCAACTCCACCCTCTGCCTCCCAGCCCCACCCCATGGCAGCCTCCACTGAGCCCAGGACATGGGTTCCTCCCCCAACCTGCCCATCCATCTCGTCTAAAGGGGCTCCTTTAGCCAAATTGGGAAAAATAATTGAAATCTGCCTGTTCAGAGTGAGGCAGGAGGGCCCCAACAGTCCTAGAGGGAGCCACAAACAGTTTGCTCTCTCTCATGAGAGAGCAATATTAAAAAATATTTGTGGAGTGAAAGCATGAAGGTACTATAAATATTTACACTTGAGATTCAATCAGTCTCTGAAAGAAAAGGTTTGTAAGGCCAAAGCAAAGCATCAGGAATTCCAGACATGCTACGTTGGCAGATTCCAGAAGGCCACATTCTCAGCAACTCGAGCCTGAGTTCCTTGTCTGGATTTCTCTGGACCCTGCTGACCACCACTTAGAAGACCCGTCACCCCTGCTTCTTCCAGGTTTGAAGGTGGAGGTGAGCGCTCTAGTGTGGGGAAGGGGCCTGCAGTCAGCTGTCCATAAGCCCAGGAGACACCCGCCACTCCCCTGCCAGCCACCCAGGAATAATGGCAGCCTGGGATGAGCTCCCATAATTCACTGGGAGTGTGGGGCTGGGTGTAGACCCTGCTTAAATACCAGGCTTCCTGCTGTTACCTAGGGGAGGGCCCCAAGGTTATTTCCCCTCCAGACCTTCCCTTGATGCCCTTTCATATTCCTTCTTTCCCCTCCCTGCCTTCCTTCTTTCCTTCCCTCCTTCCTTCCTCCCCCCTCCTCTTTCTTTCTTCTTTTTGTTTTCTAAATTGTCCTCCTCGAATTCACACTGTTAAGAAATAGATGTGTGAATTGAGCTGGAATATCATGGAGAAATGATTTTTTTTTTTTAAACAAATGCAGCTGTCCCTCTTTCAGACACAAGTTCACCATTTATGTTCTTGAAAATAATCTATGTTGCTAAATTATACATGTTCCCTGAAAGAACTTTAGAGAACTTAGAAAACAATTCCCAACAACAGCATCCCGTGGAGGGGAGCACTGTTGCCATTTGTGCAGGTGCGGTGGGCTTTGTTTCTGAATATATGTTTCAGCTTTCCAATTCGCTCTAGTACTATAATAGACTTCTGGACCCTGGTAACCTTTGGTTTTGCTCTTTTTGCAATATATTGTGGGTGATTTGTTTATTGATTATTTTGAGTTGTTTTTCATTTTGTTTAAAACGCCAATTAATATTTTGTGCACATATTGTTTTGATAAACAAAATTATTTTCTGAAGAAAAACCTTCGGCAGCAGGGTTACTACATGGAAACATAAGTGCAGATTGAAGGCTTTGGGTCCACGTTGCCAAACTGCCCTGCAGAAATGTTGAGCCCAGTGCAGAAATGCCACGTGTTTCCAAACATTTCTCACCAATTCTCTGTTTTGTTGTTCCTTTGCCTCATTTCCAAATTGATACACAACCCAGAGAACAAAAGGATGAACAAAATCCTTCAGCTGCTGGGCATAGTGGTGCAGCCTGTAATCACAGCAGGGAAGGCTGAGACGGGAGGAACGGGAGTTCAAAGCTAGCTTCAGCCATTTAGTGAGATCCTGTGTCTAAATAAAACACAAAAAGGGCTGGGGATGTGGCTCAGTGGTCAAGTGCCCCTGAGTTCAATCCCTGGTACCAAAAAAGAAAAAGAAAAAAAAAATCCTTCAGCTGACTGCTGGTAGCTCAAGGTATTTACTCTCGGAGTTTCCTTGAGTTCTTGACAATGGGAGAGAGGCCTGCTTCTCATCAAGCAAGTCAGGAGCCTACCCAACCTGTCAGAGCGTCTGAGCCCAGTGGTTTTTCTGGAGGCAAATCTCGTATGGTCTCAGGCAAAGCAGACCAGTGTCTCCACCATTTCCTTCCGTATCTGATGGGCCAGAATGATCCTGAGCTCCAGCAACTTGACTTCCTCTACTGATCTGCCTGGGATGATTCTGCTGCAGGCTCAGCAGGGACCAGTCTCAGGTGTGTCACTTCCCTGGTGACCATGGCCTTTGCAATCAGATCAGGGGAGGATGCTGAGGAATGACCGTGCAGAAGTTCATGGCCGGGTTCAGTGGCTACATCGAGAATCCACACTTTGAACTCACTGATCTCTAATCGTCACTTGGCATCTCCTTCAGTAACAATGGCAGGCAACAAACCTTTGCAATGTCATCAGTTTCTGTGACTTTATTATTGGTAAAAATCATAGCTACTTTCAGATCTGTTATGATTGTGGCTGGTATTTTAAAAAGTCCTTAAGCTCATCGCTGGTTTGAAATTACAGTGATCATTGAGGCTTGCTAACAAATCTTGTTATTAGTGTGGTAATACATGAGCATACCTATGACCATAGATAATTTTAAAAAATATTCTGATAATTGTATTTTAGCATAAACATTTTCTTTGTGATCCCATATACATTTAAAACTTTCTTCTGAGAGGGGTTCTTCAGACTTTACCAGCTGCCAAAGGAGTCCAAGGTGCGTGCACTTGCACGTGCACATACTCACAAACACACATACAAAAGATTAAAACCTTGGAAAAGAAAGCTAAATTATTTGGGGCTTTGCAGATGAGCCAAACCTTCTGGGTTTTGGTTTTGGTATTGAGGATTAAACTTGGGGGTACTGCTCTACCACTGAGCTATATCTCCAATCTTTTACTTTTTATTTTGAGACAGGGTGTCACTAAATTGCTTAGGGCCTCCCTCAGTCACAGAGGCTGGCCCCAAACTTGTGATCCTCCTGAATCAGCCTCCTGAGTCACTGGGATTACAAGTATGTGCCACCACACTAGACACAAAAGTTCTGTTTTCTAATCCCAGGGTTAAAAAGGTTTCCCTAAAGGTTTTAGAATAGAGATTATTTTGAATATTTTCTCATCTCCGTTTCTGTGTATTCAATCATTCATTCGATAGTTATTTAACAAACAAACAAAAAAAACGACACACCAAGGCAGCCTCATAAGACAATCACTGACTCTGCCAAGTGACAAAAGAGGGTTGAGTGGAACAGAGGAGCCACGGCTCCAAGAAACCAGAGCAATTGCAAATTCAGCTACTCATTGCTTTGAATCCAGATCTGCTCCCTCGCTGAAGTATGAAATTCCATCAGAATAATTAATGCTTTCCCCCATAGAGCTCTCGTCACTCTGTGACTCCCAATCTGGGCTGGCAAAATCCTCCTCATCCTATCTTGGATGCCTCTTCCCAGCTGGAGCTAATCCCAGTCCCCCACCCTCCCTCATAGATTTTAGCACTGTCACTTTTTTTTTTTTTAAGAGAAAGAGAGAGAGAGAGAATTTTTTAATATTTATTTTTTAGTTTTCGGCAGACACAGCATCTTTGTATGTGGTGCTGAGGATCGAACCCGGGCCGCACGCATGCCAGGCGAGCGCGCTACCGCTTGAGCCACATCCCCAGCCCCAGCACTGTCACTTTTGATTTGCGTTATTTACGGGAGTCTGGCTGCCGCTGGGATCCTGAGCTCTCATGCTGGGTTGTGGGGGGGATCTTGCCCATCCTGTGGCCCAGCGGGTCCTGGAGCTCTTCCTCCGCTTCTGAGCTGAGTGACTTAGGCAACTGGATTCCCTTTCTGTTGGCAGAGACTGTAATACGTGCTCGCTCCACCAAGACCTCTTTCTGGAGCTTTCTCCCATGTTTTCCACCCTGCAGCCCCAGGCCAGGGCCGCTGATCCAGGGCTTTGCTTCCCGAGCTGCTACTCACAGCCCCTCCTGGCCCACCTGTCCAGGCCTGGCATCCCTGTTCCCTGTGCTGACATGTCCTCTGCTGCTTAGTTCTGCTCATCTTTTCATGCCTGGTTCAAGAGGCTTCCCACACTTCAGGCAGAAATACCTCTTTCTTCTTTCCTTCCTTTCTTTTTTGTAGGATATCTGGGATTGAACTCAGGTGCACGTGATCACTGAGCCACATCCCCAGCCTTATTTTGTATTTTATTTAGAGACAGCGTCTCACTGAGAGAAATACCCCTTACTTTCTTCATGCCCCATGGTACACTTGATTCCAACAGCTATCTTTCTTCACTGGCCAGAAGTTCTTTAAAGGCAGGTACTGGCTGGGCGTGGTGGCACATGCCTATAATCCCAGTGGTTCGGGAGGCTGAGGCAGGAGGATCTCGAGTTCTGGGGATGTGGCTCACTGACCAAGCACACCTGGGTTCAATCCCTGGTACAAAAAAAAAAAAAAAAGTCAGGTTCTGAGCCATATTCATATTTGTGGCATCAGCGCTTTGAAGTATTGTTGGCTGAATGAAGAAGTGGAGGAATGAGCGAAGGAAGGGGTGACTGGATACCTTTCCTTTCTTCTCCCCAGCTCTTTCCTTTCTCTTCTAATCAGTTCTGGGTCCAGGGCTGGCATGGACACTGACTTTGATCATGAATTAGTGACTTCATCCCCCGGGATTCAGGCTTCCCTCTCTGTAGGAAGAGATGGAACTAGAGTCTGCTTAGTGGCCTTCTCTTGTTCCTAGTGATGTGATTCTCTTGTGAGACTCGGAAGGTGTCCCTATTTGCTGGGACAGAAGTCTCCTCTGAGCCACACTCTTCGTCCCACTTAGCCACCCAGCACCCACTCCTGTATCTAGCTGGTGACTTGGCCCTCTCAATCCCACAACTTTCACGTCTCTAAATCCCATCCCACCTCCTTCTCTAGACCACTGCTGAAATCCAGGCCTCCATTTTCTCCCATTCGAGTCACTGATTATCTTCAGGACAGCCCAGAGGTCAGACCTGTTCTCCCAGCCCCCTGCTTTTTGGGAGGAGGAGGCAGAGGCATCTACAGATACTGCAAGGCTACTGGGAGGTCTGGATTTGCTATTGGAATCAAAAGTCCTTGAGTTCAAATACTTCCTTCTTCAGATCTTGTGTGTGATTCTCTTTTCTGATTTTCTCAGACTCCCTCCCAGACTTTGCCATCTGAACTTCCTGGGCAGGTCTCCACTTCCCTATTCACAGAGGCCAAGCTGATGAGGAGGAGGAGGAACGTCCAGTTTCCCAGCACCCGCAAGCCCATGTGTGTGGGCCCCGCCTTCGCTTTCTTGCCTTTGCTCTGAGAAGCTGCCAGTTCCTCCACCTGTGCTGTGGCTCTGGGTTCTTCTTGCTTCCTTGGGGACTGCCAGTTTTTATCTCTATGATCGATAAACATGTGCAGTGTCTCCTATCTTTAACCCTGCCCCCACCCCCTGTCCAGTTGTTCTCTTTTTCTCTTATAGCTGGCTTCTTTAGAATGTTGAATTCTCCTAACTCTCCCCGCCCATTCACTGTTCAGCCCCTTAGGTTTCTGCTCCAACTCATCTGAGCTCATCACATTTTCTGCTCCATGACCTCGGCACACACGCTCCTCAAGCGCGTCACCACGCTACCTGCCCGCTTCTCCTGGACATCTGTGGCTCCCGGGGCTGGCCTCTCCAGGCCATGACTGTCCTTGGCTGGTTCACTGCTCCGGCCAGCTTTGCCAGGGTTCCATCCTTGGCCTCTCCTGCTGGGCTGTACTTGTCCTGAGCCATGCATCTATCCTGGGGCTTCCCCGCCATGTGCAGTCATATGTTGCAGGGACATTCTGAGAACAGAGAAAGGATCTCTCTATTCATTGGGAATCCTCTAGTTTGCGAGTCACAGCAAATCTACCAAGTTAAACCAGCTCAGAGACAAGAGCCACGTCCAGGACTTAGATCTCAGAAGACCGTAGGGATCAAATGATGTCACACGGCTCCATAGCTCAGCCCACAAAAATTGCTTTCAGTGCGGTTCCTGCAACGTCTCCCAGCTTTCTGCTCATGACTGCTCACTTTCACTTTCATGTTCCAACTGGCAATCCCAACAGAGGAGGGGACAGAAAGAGACTGGGGTCAGATCCTGAGTAACATGACTGAAGTTCACCCTGACTTGACTAGGCTGGGTCACTGTGGCCAAGTGCGTGTTAATCAGGGCCATTTCTGTTACCACACGGGTTTCCTAAAGGCAGGAGGGAGAAGGAACACTGGCAGTGACAGCATGTGGAACCGTAATACCTCTCTGTTTCACTCATCTTTTTTCACAGCTGTGACTGAAAGACCTGACCAGAACAATTTTAGAGCAGGAAAAGTTTATTTGGAGCTCAGGGTTTCAGAGGTCTCAATCCACAGAAGTCTGGCTCCATTTCTTGGGTGAGGCAGAACATCATGGCAGAAAAGAGTGGCAGAGGGAAGCAGCTCACATGATGATCAGAAGGGGGAGAGAGAGAGAGAGAGAAAGAGAGAGAGAGAGAGAGAGAGAGAGAGAGACCGACCACTCACCAAATACAAAACGTATACCCCAAAGTCATGTCCCCAATGACCCACCTCCTCCAGCCACACCCTACCTGCCTTCAGTCACCACTCAGTTAATCCCATCAGGGGATTAATTCACTGTTGGGGTTAAGGTTCTCATAACCCATTATTTCTCCTCTGAATCTTCTTGCATTGTCTCACACATGAGCTTTTGGGGGACACCTCATATCCAAACCATAACACTCTCCCCAAATAAGCACAAGCTGAGACCAGAAATTCCCCTGTAAAGCTGTGTCTCTTCCTTCCCTCAGTCACCGACTTCTCAGATACTCATTCCTCCTTCCTCTGTTCCCCAAATATTTCGCTGTACCGTGTTCCTCATGTATTATAGTTATTCGTAATATATCTGCCTTGGCCGCTAGACAGGGCACCTCAAAAGCAGAAGTAAACTGCTTTCAGTTTTCACCCGTAACACCCAAGTGATTCCCTAAGCTTGGCACATTGTGGGTGCTTGATAAGTGTGGCCAGTGTCACAAATGAATAAACAGTAGTATTGTCTATAAAAACATTTAACTGGGTTTTCTGGGTCAAGTGGCTGTGATGTGGGAATAGGGAATGTAATTGTGTCGTCTGTGCTGTGGCTTTGTCTGGTACCCTGCTGGACAGAGAGAAGACGTACAATCTACCCTCATGCAGGAACTTCATCTGTGGATATTCTGACTCAATTTGAACCCACTCTTCCCTTTTTAGTTTCTTCAAGGACACAGAATTCTCTGGCCAAGTGACTCGCTAGCCTGGCGGGAGCTTGGGGCAGGATCCTGCCTATTGCTGTTTGCTGGAAGGGATGGGATTCACGTGCCAGCCCAGAATGGTGTCTCCATGTTCACTCCCTTTGGTGAGTGTGGAGACATGAAATTAGCTGGTTTTTGGAAAACAAGCTCAATGGCTACCTGGGCCAGGTATGGAACTGGATGAGAGGCGCGTGCTGGCAACTGTCAGTGTGGAGCCGTTGCAAGTGTGGTGGGGCTGCCGCAGCTGGATTGCCAAGCCTGGTCACGGTGAGTGAGCAGCAGTCATGACTCAGCAGCTGCTGACTGGAGGGGATACAGACTCTGGGATGCTAGGACTTGGAACAGTACTCCAGTTTCAGAAGGGACAGCACTAAGTCACTCTTTGAGAAAACATGTCTCTGACCAGTGGGCCTGGCGTGGCTTGAGGAGTACCAGACTGTGCCTCTGATCTCACCTGAAACTTTGCCAGTGGCATGTCTCAAAGTGAGCTACATTTTACAACTCAAGCAGGCTGAGTCTTGTTGGGAAAAGTATAAACGGCAGCCGCACCCCAGAGAAAAACCCCAACATGGTGCCTAAGGACCTCTTCTTCCTACCTTCCTCTTTTCTGCAGTGGCGCGAAAAGTTCCCGTCCGTGGGAACTCTCCCATCAGCGCCGATTTCAAATCTCGATGGCGGGGAACCTTAGCCCCAATAAGAACTAATTCCTGGGCTCCGGAGCTGATATCTGGAAGAACTTGCCAATAAACGGGTGGCCTGCCATTTATCTAAGCCCTGCCATCTCCCCTTAGTTCTATATAAGCACACAGCCTTTTGCAATAAAATTGGAATTCTCCCCGTGAAGTGTCTTTGCGTGGGGAATTCTTTCAAGTCTCACTATATGGAAGAGTTTTTTTCTAAACACTTAGGAAAATAATTCGTACCACATAGTTGTTTTCAACAACTATGCCCCGAACTATTCTTCCCATGAGTGGTTTTATAGTTTCTTCAAAGTCACCGTCAAGATTTACCCTTTTCATGTAGCTATTCATCTATTTACTGCACCCTGGCTCTGATATGCTCAATTTATGTTAATCTGTTGTTATATTGTTTCACGTATTCCCCATGTTTATGTACCAGTAAAGATGACAAGACTCGAAAATGCATGCCTAAAACATAATATGAATTTGCTTCTGGCTCTTGTATATCAGTCCAGAGTACATGCAGGTTGGGGAAATGGGGGAGGGTCTCTGTTCCAGTCAGTCATTCAGGGACCCAGGCTGATAAAGCTGTGACATCTTCCAACATGTGATTTTCAAAGTGGTTGCAGTTGTCTCCACCCAGCTGACTGGAGGGGAAAGAGAATGGAGGATTGCCCATGGGAAGTTTTTATGAACCAGGCCTGGAAATGAGAGGGCAGGATTTCTGCCCATCTTCCATTGGCTAGAATTTAATCACGTGGGCTCACCCAGCTGCAAGGGAATCTGGGAAATGCAGTCTGTGTGCCCAGAAAGAGGAGAATAATTTTTGGTAAATGCCGGCCAGTCTCTGCCAGTGGATCAAAATAAATATTTCAGGGGCTGAGCTTGTAGCTCAATGGTACAGCGCTTGCCTAGCATGGGCTAGGCACTGGGTTCCAGCCTCAGCACCACAAAAAATATACTAAAATTAATAAATATTTCATCTTCTTGTCTTGACAGAACAAACTCCCTGTCTCAGGCAACAATCCGAAGCCCCATCCAACTTCTACACCAGGTCCAATTCTATACATGAGGCACAGGTATGGATGGGCTCCCCAAGGTTTGGAGATCTATGAACCGAGACGAATTATCTTCCTTTCCACTGACAATGCACAGTGGTGGGCACAGTAATTGCAGTGAAACTCCTTGGGAAGTGTGAGAGACATGCAGTAGGCCCCAGGCCGTGGCAGCTATGACGTCTTGCCAGGCAAGCACTGAGAAGGCTCCTTTAGCTTGGCAGTGGAGGATTTCTCTGATTTCATCCTGATTATTCTCTCTGCTAAGAAATCCCTGGCACATTGTTCTCCAAAGTTCCAGGCTCCCAGCTCTGTGAGAGAAGTTCTTCTTGTTCAGTATCTCCCCATGGCCACATATGAAAACGGTGTTGGGGAGAACTCTCTCTTTTGGGGTTGGACAGCTTTAGTGCTTCACCCACTTCCAGCTCCTGCAACTGTGGAAGCCTAAGTGTCATCTGAAAATTCCAACAAGGTTTTGTTTTATTATTTAAGGCTCCATTGGCTTGTGTTTTCGTTGGTCGTAAAAGTTCCTTGAACACTTACTAGGCTTCTCCCTTATTTGTTTACAGTCAATTCACTGTGTCAGTACTAGGATGTAAAATATTTCCCTTCCCATGCCTATTTTATCTTTTTGTTAGTCTCTCTCCCCTACCACATCAGCTGAACGATGATCACTTAAAGGTCACCTGATGGCATGAATTGTCCAATCTTTGCTGAAGGGATGGAGCACTTTGCTTAATCAGAAAGACTTAATGAACATTTACTGATTTTTAGTCTTACTTCCAACTCTTTGGGGTTTGAAGCAGTAAGCTTTTCCAATACTGCACAGTCCCAAATTCCCACATCTTTTATTCCCTTTCTACTTACAAACTAATTCCTTTCTGAGTTCATCTTTTTCTTGAAAAACATAGAAGGGGTAAATAGTGAGTTTCTTGGCAAACAGGGAGGAGCAATAGGTCCCTCGCCCTGGCCTGTCAGAGCTACACAGTGACAAGGTACATGGTGGGGTTAGCCTTCTAAGTTCTCACAGATGAGAGTTTTTATAAAATGCTTTTTCCACTTCACAGTACGGATCTCAATGTCTTTGGCTTCCAATAGTTTCATCACCGCCCACCACCCAACCATTGTCAGTGTCACAGTGGCTTAAGTTTTTTGACAGTAGCACCCACCTTCAGGGCATTTAGAATCACTGAAGCAGATGATTCTAAAATGCCTAATGGTGGGAGCACCCTTGCTCATGGAACAGGGTTGCCTGATTCCAGGATAGTGGGGAAGGGCACCCTACTCCAGTCATTCTGGGACTCAGCTGACAAGGGCTCTGTTACTTCTGAGGTCACTTCATCCTCATCTGCCTGGTTCCAGGGTCTTGGGGAAGGAGAAGAGGCACAGCAGATCACCGAGTGTGGTTTTCATATGGGCCAACTCGGGATGGGTCACTTCAGTACTCACTAAATCATGGTTACACTTCACCCCATGGTGGGTGGGAGCTATAACTGTGTCCAAGTAGAAGAGGAAATGGGATCCAGGGTGGCCAACTTTGTCCAGTTTGCCTAGGACTTTCCTGGAGTAGGCACCAAAAGTCCTGGGCAAACCGGTGGAGTTGGTCACCCTAAAAGCCTCCATTGTATTCTTGGTCCTTGGAAAGTCACTGAGTCTTCCACTTTCTTGGTCACCTGGTCTACAGTGACTGCAAACCACATATTAGGGCATGAATTGAATGTGATTAGGAAGCAATGGGACACATTATTTTAATTGAAATATATGTTGTCCCTGGAAATTGGGGTGTGTGTGTGAGATGCAGCCTTGGGGTATCACATCAACTGTCTCTGCCCCTGAGTCAACTATAAAATGTAATGGCAGGGCCAGAGTACCATGAGGAAATGTGACCTATTCAGCGAAACTCTTAGAATTCAG